GTTGAAGGCATGGTAACCCCAGAGGGAAAGGTAAGAGAGAGAAGCCAGGCACAGGGTATAGGAGTAAGGATAGGCACTGCTGAGAGGATTAAATGGGACCAGGACTAAGTTACAAGAGCCCCTTAAGTCAGCACAGGGGTTCTCAACCAGGGGACCCCAGGGGACATTTGGCAATGTTTGGGGACTTTTTTGTTCTTCTGACTGAGCATCTAGTGGGTAGAGGACAGAGCTAGTGTTAACATCCTAAAATGCACAGGACAGCCCCCACAACAAAGGTGTGTCTGGTCCAAAATGTCCATAGTCTCAAGGTAGAGAAACCCTGAGTTAGAAGAGCCTTCTCCTTGGTCCACTGCAGGACACCATCATATGTTACTTGACAGGGATACCATCGATGCCAGCTTGTTCGCCTGGGCCTTGAGTTCCTCTCAGACTTCCAACCCAAGTATTTAGTTTGTTTACTTCTAATAAAAGTAAATGAAAACCAGAGTCTCAAATTTGCTGTGAAATCAGCTTCTATTTTTTTTTTTAAGATTTTATTTATTTGACAGAGAGCACGCAAGCGAGCATAAGCAAGGGGAGCGGGGGAGTGGCAGAGGGAGAAGAAGCAGGCCTCCCGCAGAGTAGGGAGCCCGATGAAGGGCTGGATCCCAGGACCCTGGGATCATGACCTGAGCCAAAGGCAGGCACTTAACCGACTGAGCCACCCGGGCGCCCCTGAAATGAGCTTCTAGAGAAGAGAGCCTTGGGTGTAGGAAAAGCCGCCTGATAGAGGTTGTGCAACTAGGCAGAAGGTAGCACCATCTCTTGGCCTCAGTTTTACCATTTGTGAAATGAGCACACTGAACACAATGACCTCTAATGTCCCGTTAGTTCCAAAACTTGTCCTTCTGAATATTTCCCATATGTAGTTGTACCAGTTTAGGTCATTGGAAAAGGAAATGACTCAGAAATTCGAGAAGGGAAGTCTGAGGGTGACTCAGACTTTCCTAATCATAAAAGGCGTTTCAGACATGGCCCTTTAATGCTGAGCCAGGACTCCTGATCCCTGAATGATGCCAGGACTTCCCTTTGTGTATCTGAGTAGGTGGTCTCCTCATGGGGTAACTTTAACAACAGTAAGTTGCTTCTGCCAACTGCCCCCCCCCCCCCGCCCCCTGCCAACAGGTCTGCTAGTGCATGAGAGTTTTCTTTCTAGTTGAAAATATAAATATTCTAGCATAAGTATCCGTTTGATGTTACCAGTTGGGTTTGAGGCTGTAAGGCAGGTAGCTGGCACAAGATCAAGAATGGTGCTTGTTCATGGATATCCAGTCCTAGCAGTTAATCTGAATACTCTGAGAAAAGTTCATGTACCGTGTCAATTCTATTTAGTTCGAGCTTTTCAACTAAATATTATAAGAAAGATTTAATAACCAAGAGTTCATATTTTGTATTAATCTCTAGTATCTACCTATGATAAATATGTCAAAACAAGGCTCAAAAAAAAGTCCATCTAAATATACTAAGTGCCTCTATCACCAAATGTCCATTTATATCAAAACTTTTTTTTTTACCTGAAGGGGCCACTTTACCACAGTGTGGTTATCAGTATTGAGTGCTCTCTTCCTGTCATAAGGAGACCTTTCAATGTCTTGAAGAGAAGCTATCCTGGGTTGATGGAGTATTTGGCTCTTACTTTTTTTTTTTTTTTAAATATTTTATTGATTTATTTGAGAGAGAGAGACACAGAGAGAGAGGGAACACAAGCAGGGGGAGTGGGAGAGGGAGAAGCAGGCTTCCCGCGGGAGCAGGGAGCCCGATGCGGGGCTTGATCCCAGGACCCTGGGATCATGACCCAAGCCGAAGGCAGCCGCCCAACTGACTGAGCCACCCAGGAGTCCCTTGGCTCTTACTTGTTCTGAGTCATGTGGCTCATCTAAAAGTTTTCCAAAAGAGAGGCCCAGCTTTGTCTAGGGAGTAACCTTCCAATGCTGTTCTCCCGTGAGAGGTTTCATCTCTCTGCTTACCCACTCCAGCTGCGGTTCAGAGACTGCCACCAAGACGCCAGACTCTTTGTAATCTTTTCTGAATAGTGACAGACTCACAATGAACAATTCCATCCTTCAACAAATATTTATTGAACACATATTATGTGCCATTCTTGATGGTGGGGATATACCAGTAAATAAGACAAAGTCCTGGTAGTTCAAGACGTACTTGTGAAATGAGTGAAGGACCCCCTTCCAGTTGTTTGCTTTAGTCTAGCCTGATTGTTCCTCTTTGTAATCAGTTGAAAACTGCTCCATTCTCTTTTCTTCCCTAGGATGCCTTCTCAGAGGTGCAATCCTTAACCTACCACTCAGTACCTATCACTCAGGCAGGCCTGAGGAGACTGGGCTTCATAATCCTCTGGGGTCTTCAGTCAAACGGATACCAAACAGCTTGTAAACCAAAGTTGGGAACCTTAAGGCTAATTCATTGCACAAGTGGTTCCCATCTTTCTATAATCTTTGGATTCTGCCTGAAATGCAGAACTCTTCCACTCACTTATGCCTTCACCCCTGGTCTACGCATTTCTCTGATGCCTCACACAGAAATTCTTGAGAGAATTTCCCTCAACCCACTCATTCAAATTACATCTGGGTTTTCCCTAAGACACTGCTTTGTTTGCAGCCCTAGATGTCCCCCCCACCTTCCAATATCAGAAAGTGGGGAAACTGAGATACTTCTAGCTCCCTAGGGTCATTTTCAGGTCATTATTCTTCCAAGATATTTACATGCCATTCCTCCTGCTTTGGAGTTCATTCCATCAGGCTAAACTCTCTTTTATGTTCTTTGCTAGTCTTGGTCACTTCTATGCCAGGATGGTACTAGGCTTCATCTTTTCCCCAATCCTGAATAATTCTGGATTCATTCCAACAACCTGATTTGCTGATCCAAACATTCTATGCCCATAATTCTTTGTTGTTGTTGTTTTCTAAGCTAAATGGTTTAATCTTTTATTTAAAAAATGCAGTTGGGTTTAACAAGAGATAACAACAAAACCACAAATACATGAGCCACCTACCTTTGCAGCTGGATGTGGGAACTCCCTTGTTCTTTAACACTCTAATGACCTTTACTTTTACTCCACTTCAGACACCCATTCCTATGACCCACATTGTTACATGGAAGAGTTCCAACTCTACCATCTTCAACTCTTAACGTCATTCTGACTACCAGGTCCCGAGCTTCCAGCTTAATCACTTCTTTGACTTCTAAATCATCAGCTCTTTGACCTTATCAAGACTCCTCTTGACCAGAGTTGATCATACCTTCCTTAGCCTACCTTCTTACCTGGTCTGAATCATGGATTTCTTGAACTCTCTCCCCAGCACCTTTCATTCCCTTATTCCCTTTTGAGTCCACTCCCTGTGTCTACAAATCATGATCCAGGAGCTAAATGGTAATGTATCTTCTCTGCTTTTGTACCCAGGCAGTTGGGTGTTGCTAGAGAAAGTAGCAGAAATATATAGACTGGTAACCATTCCAGTAGCTTACACATTCCAAGGATTATACATTCATGGTTTCCAACCTGTTAGGCCCTTGACACTGTTCCCTAAACCTTTTACTTAGTATTATTGTCACCTCTCTTCCGTTCCCCTCCCTTTCATCATCTCTTCTAAGCTTCCCTGGCGGTCTAGTGGTTAGGATTTGGCACTCTCATCATCTCTTCTAAACTATGGCCACTCAAAAAAACCCCCTAACTCCCACCTCCCTCTCAACTAGCAACTTTACATCTCCACAAAGAACAATGAAGCCGTCAGACAAGGATTCCCATCAATCACCGACTCCCAGTCACAAAGAGCTGTGAGTTTACCCATTGTTATATCTTCACCTTGAGTCTCCAGCAGGATGCAGTATACATCTTCCTGCTTGAGACCAATTTCCTACTTAGCTCGCTTCACACTAGACTAACCCCAGCACCTCCCCTTGCATAGTGGTTGGCGCAGAGTAAGTGCTTAATAAATGTTTGCTGAAATGTTTAATTGACCACATCCACCTGAACTCATTTTCATCCACTCCTCATTCTGTACTGAGCTTCAACTTTTACTTGTTCCTTTCACTCAGTCAATAAATGTGCCTAAATCATTCCCATCCTAAAACAACAACAATCTTCCCACACTACTCAGTTCGATAGGCAAGATTCTACCTCTACCAATCCATTGACACTGGTGGATCAAAATGGTTACTAACTGCCAAATCAAATGGACACCCTTTAGTACATTTTTTAAAAAAACATTTTGAGATTTTTATTATTGTTTTTAGAATTAAAGTGCCCTCTATCAAATATATGCTCATTGCCAAAATCTTGAAAAGTACAGAAAGTGGACATACATGTATACTCTAAAGTATATTCCTGACCAATAGTTACCCACTATTGTGGCACATTTCTTTCTTGACATTTTTGGGTATTTTTTTTTTTTTTTAAGATTTTATTTATTTATTTGAGAGAGAGAGAGAGCATGAGAGAGGGGAGGGCCAGAGGGAGAAGCAGACTCCCCGCTGAGCAGGGAGCCCGATGCGGGACTCGATCCCGGGACTCCAGGATCATGACCTGAGCCGAAGGCAGTCGCTTAACCAACTGAGCCACCCAGGCGCCCTGGGTATTTTTTTTTTTTTTAAGATTTTATTTATTTTTTTGTCAGAGAGAGACACAGCGAGAGCAGGAACACAAGCAGGGGGAGTGGGAGAGGGAGAAGCAGGCTTCCCGCAGAGAGCCCGATGCGGGACTTGATCCCAGGACCCTGGGATCACGACCTGAGCCGAAGGCAGACGCTTAATGACTGAGCCACCCAGGCGCCCTTTTGGGTAATTTTTATTACAGAGGTGAGATAGTCTAATTTTTTGCTTCATCAACCTCCAATAGCATTTTACATTATTGACCGACCCAGTTCTTAGAATAAACTTTGTCACTGGGCACATCTTCCTGATTCTCCTATTTTGTTGGGCCCTTTTCTTTATTCCCTTCACATGTTAGCTTTCTTTCTTTTTTTTTTTTTTAGTATTTTATTTACTTATTTGACAGAAAGAGACACAGCGAGAGAGGGAACACAAGCAGGGGGAGCGGGAGAGGGAGAAGCAGGCTTCCCACCGAGCAGGGAGCCCGACGCGGGGCTTGATCCCACCTGGGATCATGACCTGAGCCAAAGGCAGACGCTTAACCACTGAGCCACCCAGGCACCCCACATGTTAGCTTTCATCAGGGTCAGCCCTCCAGTCTTTCTGCTCTATATGCTTTCACTTCCATGGTCATTAGTGTTAAATGCAACACCTAAGTGCGGACACTCCACTTAGTGGAGTTTCCTATTTTGACTTCTCCAACCTCTAGACTCATAAATCCAGTAACTTCCCAGTCATCTACTCTTGGATGTCCTAGAGGCACCTCATATCATCCCTTCTGCAACACTGAACTCATTATCTTCCTTTTTAAACTTGCTCTTCCAGTAGTAGTGTCTCTCTAGGTTATGACATCATCCTTTACCCAGTAACCCAGGCCAGAAACCTAGGAATTTTTTATTAGAGTCCTGTCTCTTCCCAAGTTGCACACCCCGCCCCCCCATCAAGTTCTGCTGATTGTACTTTCCGTGTATTTCTTGATTTGTCCACTCTTCTTCATCCCCACTGTCCTTACCTTCTTTAGTTCCTAATCTGTAGCAACACAATAGTCTATCTTACTCATAACTAGCCCATGGTAACAGTTAACTAAGTGGAGTGTCCGCACTTAGGTGTTGCATTGCTACTTCGAATTTATTATGCCACAAACTGAATCATCATCTTTCCCTTCATAACAACCAAATCCCTTAACTTTTCCATCCTGTTAACAGCCCCTCTAAATACATCAATTTTACCCTCTCCAGTCTCTTGCCCACACCGTGGTCAGAAAGATTATTCTAAAGAGCCAATCTGATCATGTCATTACCTTGCTTAAAATCTCAGCAGCTTCTCATTGCCTCCAGGATCAAGTCCAAAGGGCCCTTTGTGATCGGACTCTCCCCTCCCTCCACCCATTTCTTTGCACCCCATCTGCTGTTTGGTATGCTACAGCTACTCTCAATTATTATTATTTTTTAAAGATTTATTTATTTTAGAGAGAGAAAGAGAGTGCACGAGCAGGGGGGAGGGCAGAGGGAGAGAGAAAAAAAATCTCCAGCAGACTCCCCACTGAGTGGGCCCGATCTCATGACCCTGAGATCATGAGCCAAGCAGAAACCAGAAGTCGGACACTCAACTGACTGAGCCATCCACGTGTCCCTCAATTATTTTAAGTTCCCAGAACACAATACCTCTAAATCTTTTCACATGCTGTCCTTCCATTTGGAAGACCCCCTTTCCCAATCTAACCCCTTTACATGACCATGTCCTACTACTCCATCAGATTTCAGCTTACAAGCTACTTTCTGTGAAAGGATCTTCCTGACTATTCTTCCACCTCCCAAATTAGGTGAGTGCTTTCAGAGCATTTTGTGCTTATCCCATCTTTCCCATCTTGTATTCTGTCTGCCTACCCGTCTTTATCACATCCCCCTATAGTCTGTAAGCGCCTTGAGGGCAGAAACCATTTCTTAGGTGCTGTTACATCCCTGAAGGGCTTTACACGCCTTATTTTGTTTAATCAGCACAACCACCCTTTATGGTAGGTACCACATCATTCCTATTTTACAAATAAATAAACTGAAGCAAACAGAGTTTAGGAAACTTGTCCTGAGTTACCAAAATATGTCAAAATCAGAATTTAAAACCAGACAGCTTGACACTAGAACCAGCCCATCCCTAAATACTTCACCTTTAATTTAAAGCCCTTCACACAATTTGGCAGTAACCTACCTAAAACACAGATCTGACCAGGTCTTTTCTCTGCCATCCCCTCAGAGGTCCCTGGGCCTGCCTGCCTGCCATATCCTCTGTAACCTCGCTCCTGCCTGCCTTCTTGGCCTTGGACCAGCCACTCCCTAGGACCCAATACTGCTGCTGAAGCACCACCCATTCCACACTGTCTCATCCTGTCTAAGTGTTGGTCTGTCTACCAAAAGGCCCCTGATCACCTTATCTTTCTGGAGAAATCCTGCTCCTCTCTCAGAACTTACTCCATGAAAGTATTCCTGATTACTCTTTCCTGAACCCCTTGTAGGCATTGGAGTGACTCCTGCCTCCACTCTCAGAAGCTGTGTGACTTGGGCAAGTTATTGTTTTAGTTTCCTCACTTGTATAATGGCAGCAGTCTGACTGCCTACTCATAGAACTGCTGTGAGGAATAAATGAGAGGGTGTAAGTTAAGCACGTAGCATGGGGCTTGACACATCCTAAGTACTCAAAACATTTAGCAATTATTTACTCATCCCTCTTTCTCTACGTAGCTAGGCCTCTACGACCCAAGTTTAACAATATAGTATGGTTTCTTCATGTGGAAAAAGAAAGCACCCACATATCACTTATATTTTAGCACAGTGCCTGGCATATTTTGGGCTCTTATTAAGTAACTGAACTGGACTATTCATTTATTATTTTTTTGAAGATTTATTTATTTTTAGAGAGAGACAGGGCAGGGGCAGAGGGAGAGGGAAAGTCTTAAGCGGATTCCATGCGGAGCATGGAGCCTGACCTGGGGCTAGATCTCCCGACCTGAGCCGAAATCAAGAGTCAGAGGCTTAACCGACTGTGCCACCTAGTGCCCCTCGAACTGGACTATTTAAGTACTATCCAACTTTCAAGGCCCAGTTCAATTTCCATTTCCACCAGTAATATTTACCTAATGATTCCAGCCCTTTGGATTTTCCCTTCTGGGAATTTTTTAAGATTTTATTTATTTATTTGACAGAGAGAAAGCACACACAAGCAGGGGGAGCAGAAGGCAGAGGGAGAGGGAGAAGCAGGCTCCCCACTGAGCAAGGAACCCAATGTGGGGCTTGATCCCAGTACCCTAGGATCATGACCTGAGCCAAAGGCAGACCCTTAACCGACTGAGCCACCCAGGTGCCCCTGAGATTTTTTTTTAAAAAGATTTATTTATTTGAAAGAGAGAGCGAGAGAGAAAACCCAAGCGGACTCTGAACTGAGCATGGAGCCTGACACACGGCTCAATCTCATGACCCTAAGATCACGACCTGAGCCGGAACCAAGAGTTCGTCGCTTAACCGACTGCGCCACCCAGGCACCCCTCAGAATTCTTTTACCACAGCCTGACTGATGCTATGCAGTCTTGCATCATATGTAGAAGTTTTGTCTCAATGAGGCTTCAAGTTCCTCCAGGGCAGACACCATTTCTTACACTATCTGCCCAACAATAGCTAATATTTCTGATTGCAAAGTGTGTTCAACAGTTACATGTGAATGAACATATTCTTGCCCAAGCATGGGAGGCCTCACCTGATCATTAGTAAGTCCCCCATCTCTAAGAAAATTTCAGCTAACAACTCCTCTCCTGACTCTCCTTCCCTTGGCTCTTGGCATTCCGTGTAGAACTACATGAATTTGCATTTATTTGTATGCCTCTGTCACAGCTTCGCTTCACTTTCCTTGGTAACCCCCTCAAAGGCCCAGCAGAGGGCACTACACACCCGAGGGCTGCTTGCTCACTGCAGATATTCTCAACGGTGACTCTCCCAAGTTAGCTTGCTTTTGCCTGCATTTTCCATGCCCAGGCTACATTAGCTCAAAATAAATGCTGCTGGACAAGAATCATGGTGACTTCGTCCCTGCCACCCTATGTATCAGATGGCTGAGAGGCTTGTCAGCAGAATCATCACTCAGCCATGTTGGGAGGAATGGAAGAACTCTTGACTCCACTCTGGAATATGGGCAGGAATCGCCATTTGGAGCAGTGCAGAGCAGTCTGTTCTGGTTGCGTGGCCCCGCAGTATGGGAGTGAGGGAGAAGGAATGGCAAGGTTTTACACCACAATAGAGATTGCCACAATCCTTTCTTGGCACCCAGGATTCCTAAGACTACAGCTTAAAACTAAGGACCAGGAAAACCAGGAATAATGGAAAAGTCATATAAAAGCCTAGATATGGGACGCCTGGGTGGCTCAGTTAGTTGAGCGTCCGACTCTTGATCTCAGCTCAGGTCTTGATCTCAGGGTCCTGAGTTCAAGCCCAGGGCTGGGCTCCATGCCCAGCGTGGAGCCTTCTTAAAAAAAAAAAAAAAAAAGCCTAGATACTATCTCAAGCTCTTCAGCGAACTCACTTTGCCACCTTATAAGTAATTTATTTCTATACTTCAACTTTACCTGTATTAAAAACGAAACTGCACTGAATGATGCCCCCACATTCAGCCTCACTGATCTCACTCCCCAGCCATTAGGGATGGCAAACATACACTAGGGATGGCATGCTCAGAAGTCATGGGATTGGTTTAAGGGGAATAGGAGGGTTGAGAAGACTCACTAACCCCACCACAGTAAACATTCTACTAATTTGTGTATGTGTAGCTCCTTGCTTTGAGTTTATAACTTCTGAAGCATGTGAACTTTTGCATAGCTTTTCTTCCACAAAGACAATAAACCCCACAAAAGTAGGGAATGTTTTTAATGTATCTCCATACCACGGGCTCACTCAGAAAGGCCAGTGGTTGGGAGGCATCACAATCCCCTGGCTAAATCAGGAGAGCGCAAGTTAGTAACATCCTGAGTAGCTGAAAACATATTTGGAAAACTTCTGATTAAGGATCATTAAGAATGAGTCCTAGTCCAGTTTAGAAGTGCCCTTCCCCTTCAATAAGATGGAGAGTTCTCTGGAATATCTATGTCTACTGGACCTTGTTTATCTTCCTTGATGCATACTCATTTGAGAAGCCAATCACATTTGGGAAAATATAATATACTCTCCTCAAAGTTGGGCAAAATAGGCAAAGAGACACATGTCAATGTTGGTGTGTGTCGGGGAGACAGGTGTGAGTTTGTTGGTAACATTCTTTTCTATAATACATTCACAAGCAGTTTGTAACTTCTTGCAGTTGATGCTTGGGAGGTGGGGAGGAAAGAAGTCACTCTGCCTCCTGCTGGCCACAAGCAAAAAGGCTTGAGTTCCTTTTGGCTTATTACTAGAGGTCACATTTCTCCTTCACAGACATGAGAACTTGTGAAGGAATGGAAGACTGAAAGGGAAAAGGAAGAGTGGGCGTCTCTTTTTTGCTTAGCCTGAACTAAGCTCTAGGTGTTAATAAACTATTTAGATCAAATTCTTCATTTTGTGAGCCAAAACCTGAGGTTGATGCATCTTCTACATTAGCTACAGAAACAAAAGGATAGACGGGAGTCAGGAAAAGCCCAGATCTATATGCTAACATCCCTCCTCGCTCTCCCTGAGTGATGGAAGTGGGAAGCCCAGTCACATCCCCTATTAAGGGCCCCGGTTCCTTAGAACTCAGGGCTCCACACCAGCTTCTCCCCTGAATGGTGTCTTCAGTTTCATTTTCTTCCCTTTCCCCAAACCCCAATAAAACACACCAACTGCTTCAGAGTATTTCTGGGTTGTGTTTTTTTGTGGGTTGTCTTCTTTTTTTTTTATTTCAAATACTGAAAAAGTCTCCTGGGCTCTGTGGGGCTCCCCATGCTCATGGCCCCCTTTCCCCACACTCACTGCCCTTCTCCCCACAGTAAATCTATTTCAAGGACAGCACTTTTTTCAACGAACAATTAACATTAATTGTGTTCTCAGCTTGCTCTGCAGAACCAGAGGAGCTGTTTGCATCTGTCATATTTAGACGGACAGTTTCTTTTATCTGACACCAGATCCCCAGCCACATCCAAGCAAACAAGGCATTTCTCTACAGAGCTGAATTGGAACTCCTCATCTGGAGTCTACTCCACTCCTCGCCCTCACACCCATCCCACACCAGCCACATGGTTAGGAAGGAGAATAGTCAGGCATGTTTTTATCAACTCCAAGGCCTATTTCATATCCCCCCCCAAATTTCCCACCCCACCCTCTCAAACACCACACCCGCGCCCCACCCACCCCCTCCCATCCCCGCCAGGATTTCACTGAGATTTCTCCCAACAGTTATTTGGAAAAAAGGTAAAACAAAAAAGGTTCAGGGTCTTGGTGCTCAGCCCAAGGGGCCCCATGCGCTGGGACACCGCTGGGCAGGGGCTTCTGCCTCTCCAGCCCGCGCCCGAGCCACCTCCTGACCCCTGGCTGCAAAAGCAGGGAGGGGCAGGAGCCAGCACAGGACCCAGGAGGGCAGCGTCTCAGGATCTGGCGGAGCCCCGGGCAACATCATTCAACTTGGCCGCTGCGGACGAACACAGAAGAAGAAAAAACACTGTCAAGTAATAAGGGAAAAAACCCGAAGTTCCATCCCAGTCCCTACCCCGTGACTCTTCCATACTCAACAATCATTAGGCTACCTGGCACAAGCCTGAATCCGATCCGCAGAGTCTGAGAGAGACAGAGAGACAGATGAGAGAGGAGGGGGAGGGGGGAGGGGAGAGGGAGGAGAGGGAGAGACAGGAAGAGAGAGAGAGAGAGAAGGGGGAAAGAGGGAGGAAAGGGAGGAGGGGAAGAGAGAGAAGGAGAGAGAGAGAATTTCAGGGTTTTTCTATCTATAAAACAGTGTTCTCTGTCTTTCTGGAGATGGCCATGAAAACAGTACAGAAAATTCTTTAGACAAGATCAAAGTAATTGGAGGTTTGCAGGGGCTCAGGCTGCCTGGCTTGGAGCAGGCCTGCTTCCACAGGCATGGCATAGGCACGTGCAGCAGCAGAGGCTGACGGGGGCACCCAGTGATGAGGAGGCGATGGCATGGAAGCCAGGGCCCGGCAGTACACAGGCTGTTCTGAGTGGATTTAATAATCCAGGTTTAATCGAAGCGATTTGGATTTGGATTTGGGAATGAGCCTTCTTGCCATGGAAGTGATGTATTTCATGCTGTGGAAACAGGCGGCAAATACAGAATGTGGCTTGTTTCTTTGTTTTCTCAGCCTTGAAGATGACCAGGTAGAGAGGGAGCGAGCGGGACCAACAGTTTTCTGATTTCTCTATTTCTTCTATTCCTTACTAAAAAAACAGACTGTGACCTCAGTCTTGAGGATTCAAATGACCAATAGAGAAAGCAGCTCAGACAGAAAAGAAAAAAGTACAAAATTCGAGAAGATCGGAGATGAAGAAAACGTACAAAATTATATATATATTTATATATATAATAACATGACATATCTATGTACAACATGGCTCGGACAGTTGAGGAAACTATACAAGGATGTTCAGCATTTTCCCCTTCCCACATGGACTTTAGACTAAGGAAGACAGCATGAGTAATGGTGCAAGAAACACAAAAATTATATACAATTACAAGTGACAGTCAAAGGAGTCTGGGGGCCAGGGAATCCAGGGATCCTGCTCTCTCCATTCCTTCCTCACCAACTCTCTCCTATCCAATCTGAGCAATAGCCTGAAAAGTGAATGGCCGGCCAGGAAAGAAGTATACACACCTGCCATCACCCCGCGTGCGCATTAGCAAGTTCATGGTCATTCTCATCAGGCCAAATGTTTGGCATATCAGAGTTTATGAGGTGAAAGGGCAAGAGAGGATTATAGAATCTTGCCCTCTTGCAATTAGTTCTCCCCGTGGCCCTCTCTGTCCTAACTGGGAGGAGGATTCAGGCCAAGTTAAATAGACCGAAGGTGCTGGCCACCTGCACCCCTCTCCTCTACCTATTCATGAATCTGCATTGCTGCTTCTCAAGCTGCAATGAGCTTGAGTTACTGAGCTCTAGGAAGGCAGCTGAGTTACTGAGCTCTAGGAAGGCAGAGATTTCTTAGAGATTTCTCTCTCCCTGACCACCTTCCCCCACCAGCTTCCTCCCAGGTGAATCATCTCCTAAGAACATGCTGCTCTAGCCCAGCCATAGTACCAAGGCCCGGAGGCTGGCTTCAGCTTGTCCCTTTTCTTCTGTTCTCCCTAACAATGCTATCCCTGACATCTGATTACATCTCAAACGTGGGACTCCACCACATGTGCGTGACTGAGCATGTGTCCTCAGGCCCACAGCTGGGCTGCCAGAGCAGCTTTTTAGCAGCAAAGGTCCAGACTGGAGGCCGGCGGGGGGGGGGGGGGGGGGGGGGGGGGCAAAGGCACAAAGTTTCCATAGAAGCTAGCTTCTTAAAACTTTTTCCTTGACCCTTTAGACCATGATACTTATGAGGCCCTCCTGACTGAATTTATAACTCCGAAATCTCAATGTCCTCTCTCCCCATGTAGTCTTCAGACAGTTCCCCTCTGCAGGCTCATCCACAGGTCTTCCTCACTTAGTTTTACAATGAATACCAAAGACTTTTTTTCAGCTGGCAGTTATATGATTTTTAAAATTTGAATCAATCTTATCTACATTCAGCTCTTTTACAGATGAGGAAATAGAAATCCATAGAGGTTAAATGACTTGACCAAGGTTATACATCAGTTCTGCTCAGACAGAGTGCAACTGGAACCCAGATATCTTAACTCCAAACCCAGTGCTCTTTCCACTACCCCATACTTGCAAAAGCAACATGCTGGAAGAGAGAGAGAAGGTGCCCATTTCATGTAAATGATGTTCTCCAATCTTTACATTACTTAAGAGCCAGGGCAAACTGTCAAAGACACTCACTGGGTAAGGGAGGTTAAGTGGGCATTGTAGTTTTAGGAAAGCAAATCACTTTTTCTTTTTGAGGATTCTCTAAACCTGCCATAATGGAAACACGAAGCAATAGCAGCCTAAGGGAAAAAACACTTAGAAGCACAGAAAACAGATCTCATTCAATCTACCTTTCCCAACTATGTCAGGTTAGCCTCTGGATGTAAACCTACCAAATTATTCCCAAGGCTTGCCTAACCAATCTGGGGATATGCTCTTCCAAAAGGAAAAAATCACATCTCCCCAGTTTCTCATACAATAGGAAAAAAAGCATTTGCAGCATTATCCAATCTTAGTCTCTGGTCATTCTCATCAGGTCAAATGTACCTGGGCTACAGTGAGGGTGTGGAAATCTCAATTTAATCAAAGAAATGAACTCAGAACCCCTTTCCAACCCACATCACCTTCTCAGAAGCCCCCAGCAGAATCACAGTCATTTCTGGCTAGCAAGCTGAAAAGAGCTAACTAGGCGCTCATTCCATCCCTGCCTATGATATATAAAAGTCCAGTGGGTGAGGAAGGGGACGGGGGGGCCCAGGTTACCCCGCAAGCTTGCTGGTGACGAGCGAGGACTTTCTCTGGGGCAGATCCTGTGGGGTGGGGATGTGATCACCAGTCACCAGGTTCTTGTCTGGTCCTGCACTTGGCAGCTGCTTATTCTTCATCTTGGCTTTGGCCATGTTGTAGTCTCCTGAGTCAAAGTACTTTTGCTAAGAAACAAGAGGGATGTTTAAGTGAGTGAGGAACTCTGGCCTACCTCAAAGGCAAGGAGACTCTCATCCATTATAAACCCTCATCAACTTAGATCTTTCCAGTGCTCCTTGATTAACCTCAGGCACACATAGTTTAGCATTAATTACATGTACTTATGTCTTCTCCCCAATGTGTTCTGACCTTTTCGGGTATGTAAGCAGTTTCCTAGCTACGGTATAGATTTTAGGAGTTAAGAGACAGCCCCTACATCCTTTATACACCCATCAGTACAGGATAGTTCAACCAAATTACTGATTATTCATAAAGGCTTACTTGGGACCGGTCAGTCTCCAATGGACTTGGTGCTGAGGAAATAAATGGTAAGATATAAAGAATCGTCAATCTGGGGCTATCCTAGCAACCAGCAGGAGATCAACCTCAATTCAACAACCTCAAAATTAAAAATGATTCCCTCAGACCATGAATAGAAACTGGGCTTGTTCATGAGGATAATGTACTTTTCCTCTGACTCCCACTGCTCCCACACATGTTCCATGGCTGTGACAGCCTGCCCACGCCTGCCTTGCCTACAGCAAGGTAAACTGCAAATCAGCATCACATCATCATCTGTGACTAAGACTCAATAACTAGGACTCTCCACAGGGATCTGTTTTACTGTCCATTTCATCCACACCTAGGAACACACTCCAGTTTAATGACTTACAATCCCTCAGTTAGTTTTAGGAACATCTGGGGACAGAGAAACCTGATCAGGAATTAGATGGCTATGAAGGCAGATCCTCCCTTGGTAAGGAGGACCACTATGGATGGAAATATAAGTCTCTTGAGGGAGTATAGTTAATGGCTGATACTAATTTCAAGGGTCTGAAGAAATCTATTCATTTCAAGTTGAAGAAATCTACAGGACAGATGGTTTGATCTTTTTTTGAAATCATGCACCCCAAAATTTAGCTCTAATCTTAGAAAGTGCAGTCCTAAAACTCCCACCATCTAAACACACAAATGCCCGGAGGAGTCATTATTTCAGTTTCTAATGTCCTTCTTTCCCTCAATCCCCCAATGTCCCCATACCCAAATGTCTCAACATTAAGCCTTAATATCCTGTATGATACCATATCAGGGATTTATAATTATTTGCCTTGCTCTTTACAAGTTTCTGATTCCTCTCTACTACTGCCCAACAACAAAACCTCCAGATAAGCATTCAGGAGAAGCTCTACAGTTCTCATCCCTAAAGCCCCCTTTGGCTCCAAAGTAAAAGGATAAGAGATTGCGTCCCATACCCCTTTCTGGAGTCTCTTCATGAGGAAGTCGGAGCCTCCAGGCTTTTGTCCTAGGCTTGGATATTTGGCCTTTAGCTTTGCCTCCTCGGCTCTCTCAGGGAGAATACCTTCTTTCTCCTGTGTGTCCTGGAGGAAACAAATGGGCCAATTAAATTAAAAACTGAGAAGCAACTGCTTCTTAACCAACTGAGCCACCCAGGCGCCCCAGAAGCAACTGCTTCTAATATCTAATAACTTTTATACTATCAACTTTTCCTAGAAGTCCACCCTCTTGTGAACATACTGGCTCTATTCTGCTCCTAAATATAGCTAGACCTTTGTTCAAATCCCTGAAGCTCAAGACGACTGTATTGTGAGGAAACAAACAAACAAACAAACAAAAAAACAAGCTGCTTCTCACACTATGCCCAAGGAACCACCTCAGTGACTTGGGAGTATTGGGTTAAAGATAACACCTAAACAAAATACTTCAATCAAGAGCAAACCATAGCCCATTCAGCACAGAAGTTAGGGAAGACAAAGAGAGAAAAGAGCTAACCAGGGCTTCTGGTGACCCAAGATGAGCAGGAAAGTTCCCTGGCTGTCCCTAACACACAGTACAGGTCAAAAAGAAAATCAAAGGGGATAATTCTACTGAGATGTTCCTTCTTATCCAGAGTCTAAGGTAGTCATCTGATAAGTCTCTCTACGGAGAGACTAGAGCTGTGTGGCCTTCTCCAAAAATCTCCACCCTAGTAATGAACATCGCTTCAGCATTTCCATAAACATTAGGTAGGAAGGTGACAGGTAAACAAAGATGAAAATGACACTATTTTTAACCTCGGGAAAATTAAGATACAGGAGGTTCACTAGTATTTACCCACAGTTGTTGCCCAAAAGTAAACACCTTCCCAAATGGGGTAAATGATGGAAGTTTGGGGAACATGCCAAGAGCATGCAATTGGTTTGCAGGAGGCTCACACTGTTGTTATTACTCTCTTCTTGCTTTTTGTGGCCCTGATGCTCTTTTCTTTGGTGACTTTTTACAAGGACCTAAAACCAAACTTGTGGCTTTTTTTAATGGAACTATATTCCCTTCCCTTGACAATCCGGCACAGTTATAACCAGGTGCCTTTCATGAATCCCTGAGCCCAGGACTAAATGTTGTAAGTCAAATACAAGCCACAAGAAGAGGTTTACTTGGGGTTTTTTCATCACAGAATTGTGGATGAACTAAGTCCCACTGCCTTGGAAGTCGGGGTGGTGGTGGAAAGACGGTGGCGTCATTCTTGTCACGACTCTTTTGGTGTCTTTTCTAGGTTTAACCTCCATTATTCTGTATGAAACTCTAGTCCTCTTCAAGCCTATTCGTTCGTGCCTGAGGATGGGCAACCGACCATCCCCAAATGTCAAAATAGGTCTCTTGAGAAAGTTGCCGCCTTAAACTAGCCATGATTATAATTACTTCTTCTCCCTTCTCCCAGTGCTGGTCTTTTAAACGTCTCTACCTCCACCTCTATTTTTCTGATGCGGGCCCCGGCCTGGTTGTTGGGTCATTTGCCCCCATTAACCAATAACACACATCGCTTCCCGGTACCACCAGTCCCCTTTCATTCACCCAGTCTTTCCAAACACCCGCCCCGCGCCCAAGCTTGGCCAATGATAGCACAGCTTCAATGAGCAGAGCGGTAGGCCTATTGGCCAATCAGGAAGAGCACGGCAGTGACTGACAGTGGGCCCAACTAATCAGCGCCAGAGCTGCAAGCTGTGTTGAAGCTCACCCGGCGTGATGCAAGAAGTGGCCAACCCCTGCAGAGCTTGAGACCATGGCGACCAATCCGCACTGGTGGGAGACCGTCTCCCGCCCCATCACAGTCGCCCCCGGCTCGCCCGCCCGCACCCCCTCCATTTCACCTGCTTCTCCTCGCCGGTCTCCTCCGCAGGGTTCTCCTCTTCTTGTTTCTGGGACATGGCGGGACCAGGACTGTGGAGTGTAGGGGGCCCGGGAAGTCAACCGGAGAAGGGAAGGGGGAGGGGAAACGGGGACAACCTGCGCTGCTGCTTCGGCTCCTGTCACTAGGGTTGCTCAGTCAAAATGGCGGCCCTTGCCTGTGACGTTGTAGCCGCCCCTTCCAATGGGAGCCAATGGGAGTGGGGTAGATGGAGCAATGACGTAACGATCTACCAATAGTCACCGGCTAAAGGTGGGTTCTTTGGAGGTGACGGGCAAGCTGAAACACCAATCTGGAAAGAGAGTGAGCCCCAAGGACCAATTGGAAGCCCGTGGGGGATTTAAGGGGGCGGCGCTGCTAGGTTTGGCATTTTTGCTCCTTTGATGGGACCAGATTCCCTTCATCGCTAGCACCCGGTGCACGGAAGGCTTTGCTGAGCTTCAAACTGGAGAGGAAGGCTGGAGACCGTTCATTTTCAGATGGAGAGGATTAAGCTTTGCTCAGTGTTAGCAGAAAATTATCAATATCCAGAAAATAATTTGGAGGTCAGAGTGCACCTTAAGTTGGTACAAATTACTATTGCAATGTATGTACTTGGCGTATGGAAAACGGAGAGACTGGGACCCCAAACCAAGTTGTCTTGCACAGATGGCTTTACGTTCCATTATTTAACGCATCTGTACAGTTTTATACTTGTTCAGGGTCAGCCCATGGAGAATAAGTTCCTTGAAACGGAAAGCACAGTTCTAGGTACCTGGTAAACGTTTAGTAAATACAGTTAATACTAGTTAACGTATCCTGAGTCACAGTTCAACAATATTTCTTGAGTGTTTGTGTGTAGATGGTAACGTATTAGTTTTACAGGGGTACGCATAGAGTAAGACAGTCTCTGCCTTTAGAAAGCGTAGTTTAATGGGCATGTGGGGAGGCTTTTCACAGTGTGCCAGGTATAACCTAAATCCCCGAGACAAGATTGTAGACACATCTTACTGGAGCGTTAGTCCACAGTTTTATATTAAAAACAAACAGTCTAGGGGCGCCTGGGTGGCTCAGTTGGTTAAGCGACTGCCTTCGGCTCAGGTCATGATCCTGGAGTCCCGGGATCGAGTCCCGCATTGGGCTCCCTGCTCGGCGGGGAGTCTGCTTCTCCCTCTGACCCTCCTCCCTCTCGTGCTCTCTGTCTCTCATTCTCTCTCTCGCAAATAAATAAATAAAATCTTTAAAAAAAATAAAAAATAAAAACAAACAGTCTAATACTGATTAACACTGCAAAATTCATAATAAAATTTAATTTTCCAGGCAGCTTCTTGTGACAGCCTTGGGGCTATCTGCTTATTTTTCTGAATACTTAGGTGTACTTCTGGAAAAGTCTGAGAAGCACAGATTATTACAGAAGCAAAATCTGGTAAGCATTGAAATAAAAGTGTTAAAGTGTTTATAGGGGTTCAAAGGAAGACTAATTCAGTTTAGATTCCACCCCCCCCCAAAAAAAAAGACTTCATGAGGGAGGTGGTATTTGAAATAAGTTTTGTTTTGTTTGTTTTTTTAAGAGAGAGTGCGGTGGTGGGGGAGGGGCGGGGCAGAGAGAGAGAATCTTAAGCAGGCTCCAGGACAGCACAGAGCCTGAAGTGGGGGGGCTCGTAATTCATGACCTGAGCTGAAATCCAGTGGGACCCTTAACCAACTGAGCCACCCAGGCACTCCTGAAATAAGTTTTAAAGAACTTAGCAGTTTGCTGAGTAAAGATGAAGGAAGGAAGGGTATTCTAGGTGAAGGGCTCAAAATGAAGGCCAAAAAAACCAGAATTGAGTGCAGATATGTAGGGCTTTCAATGCCAGGATTAAGAACTTGTGAATAATTCAGTAATCCATCAGAGACATTTAAGATTTTTAGGCCAGAGAGTGGTAGATCAGAACTGCCCTTTAGGAAGATTAATTTGGAGGTAATGAATAAAAATAATTCAGAACTCCAGGCAGAAAGACACCAGAGACCTGGCACTCTAGCCAGGAGTGTACTGCAATATTCTAGGTGGGAGATAATTGAGATTTAAACTAGAAATGTGATAGTTGAGAGTAGAAAACTGTGAACCTAATTGAGAAGGTCTGTGGCAATGGAGTCTATGAGATTAACATCTGGGTGAATATAGGGAATGAGGAGGCCATTGGCTTCAGGGTGACTGCAGAAACAATAAATTCAAGAAGAGGAGTCAATTTGGGAATGGAATTGAAAGAACAGAAAATGAGATGTTCAATTTTGACTCTTTAAGACCAGTGAGACATTTTGTGGAGATATCCAGGCAATGAGGTCTTTATAGACCTCTGAGATCTCCAGAGCTAAAATTTTAGAGGTCTAGGAAATGTAGACATAGAGTTTGGGAGAAAAGTAGAAGGTAACTATGAATAAAGCTTCTTCACATAAATGTAAATAAAGTTGTGGAAGTAGATGAGATCACCAAAGGAGAAAGAAAAAAAGAGCCTCAAGATGGAAACCTGGGCAAAAGTTGGCAAGGGACACAGATACACACGATCAAAGGGGTAAGGAGAAGAACCAGGAGAAAAGTGACAGAGAAACTAAAAGATGGAGAGGACAGGGGCACCTGGTGGCTCAGCTGGTTAAGCACCCAAGTCTTGATTTCACTTGGGTTGTGATCTTGGGGTCCTGGGATCAGGCCCTGTGTCACCCCCCACCCCCACCTGCATTGGGCTCTGTGCTCGGCAGGGGGTCTGCTTGAGGATTCTCTCTTTACCTCTCTCTCTGCCCCTCCCACTGCTTGTGTGTGTGTGTGTGTGTCCTTGCGCAGGCATTTGGTTAAAGAGTGAGGAGGTGGTAACAATATTTAACAGTAAAGCAAAGAAGGGCATCAGGGCAATGAATTGAAGAGGAAGCGGCAGAGGATTTTCTTTTTTGGAAAACAGGAAAGATTCAAGCATGTTTTCAGAAAAGGCAAGGGACTAATTGAGAGAAAATAAAAATGTAATTATCCATTTTTAAAGAGGAGATAATGAAAGAATTAAAGTCTCAGAGGAGATCATTAGATCAAGAGGAAGAGAGGCGGATAGGTTAGAGGAGAATGTACAGAGAGATTTTGAAGTAGCTAAACATTTAGGGAAGTCACATTGAATGGCCTTGCTTTTCTGAGGTCAATCTTTTGAGAATAAAAAGGATGGTGGGGTGGGATAGAGAATCTAGGAAAAATGGGGTTGGAAACAGCACTATAGAAAATAGCAATGGTTCAAAACAGCAAGAAAGATCTGAGATTAGATGGGTATGAATTTGTAATAGTCCTAATCACCATGGTTTTGGTCAATAACTCTTTTTTGTAAAGATTTTATTTATTTATTTGACAGAGAGAGACAGCGAGAGCAGGAATACAAGCAGGGGGAGTGGGAGAGGGAGAAGCAGGCTTCCCGCCGAGCAGGGAGCCCGATGTGGGACTCGATCCCAGGACCCTGGGATCATGACCTGAGCCGAAGGCAGACGCTTAACGACTGAGCCACCCAGGCGCCCCTTGGTCAATAACTCTTGATTGCCTTGGAATGAAGAAAACAGACGTCCTGTTAACAAGGGTAAAAGACTGGAAAAGAAGGAACAGTGGAGGGAGGACAATGAGGAAGTCTAGATTGCTTTGCTGGTTTGTTGAAATAGCTGATCATGGCATCTAGGCTCTTTAGGAAAGACAGAATAGAAAGGAGATGGGTGCACCCGGTGGCTCAGTCGTTAAGCATCTGCCTTTGGCTCAGGTCATGATCCCAGGGTCCTGGGATCAAGCCCCGCATCAGGCTCTCTGCTCAGTGGGAAGCCTGCTTCTCCCTCTCTCACTCTCGTTGCTTGTGTTCCTTCTCTTGCTGTGTCTCTCTCCGTCAAATAAATAAATAAAATCTTAAAAAAAAAGACAGGAGATGAAGAACTGGTCATGACACAGATGAAGCTCAGATTTGGTAGGAATGACAGGGAGAGGCAGAAGAGTAGGAGGTTGCAGTGAGAGGGGAATTTCAGTGTGGATCTAGGAAGGTGGAGAAATTATAGGTTATGATGAGCTCTAGCCTATAATTATAATTGATGGCAGATATGGCATGGCTATAAGGTCACCGACTTTGATGTAATCAAGTAAATGTGAAGTCACAAATGTTGAAGTCTCAGAGCATAATTATAGGGAAGGAGGTTAGGACAGGGTAACTGTGACCCCTATGTTGGGAATGAGCTATAGGTCTCCAACATATATATGTTATTTAAATACTTAAGGCACCACATTGTAATACCTACAATATTAGCTAAATATCTATGACACTTACCAAATGAGTTGTAGTTGTAAGTGTTTAAAAGAACATTTCTGGCTGAGCTGGTCAAGGAATGTTTCAGAAAAGGTAGAACCTAAACTGGGACTGTAAGGATGAATAGGAAGGTTGGAGATTGGCAGGGGGTGGGGAGGGAGGAAAGGAAGACAATTTAGAGGACCACCTTATCTTATAAAAGGTTAGAGGGTAAATGAGGACAATGGAAAATGGAGACAGAAACTATAGCAAGAGTAACAACTTCCTAGAGTGAGAGTGATCCTACTAGCCCATCTGTATTTTTGAAGAGTTCCCTCAAGAGAGTCTACAGATAAGGCTGATCTGGGAACCTATGTAAAAGCAGCAAAACATGAAGCTGTTTAGGTTGCTGGGGTCCTGGGGTGACTAGTAAGTCATGCTAAAGTTTTGGGGTTTCATGAAGACAAAGGGGAACCTGATTTCAAGCAGGAAAATGGTATCGTTAGACTTGGGATTTGGAAATATTTAACTGGTAGCTGCGTGAAGAGTGGACTGGAGGGATGGGGGAGGCCAGCTGGACCTCTGACTGTGGTAGCTCAGGCAAGACTTGAGAGGCCTGATCAAAGACAGAAGCCATGTGAATGGAGAGGAGCTGAAGAGACAAAGGATATTGGATGTGGGGAATAAAGATGAGGAGAGAACCAAGGATGAATCCCAGGTTCATGAGTGAAGTGCCATTTACAGAAAAGCAAATCCAAGGAGAAGAGCAGATTGGAGGAAGTAAGGAGAGAAGGGGACTTGAACGTCTTACCTTTCAGGGTTTTTTCTTGCCTGTGTCTGAATTTTTCAAGTCAGGACCTAAATCTGTTCACAGAGTATGGAGATGGGATATCTGGGCATGACACTGTAAAATG